CAGCAGACAGGGCGGCTACAAGGCTGGCAGCAGCTGGATCCACATTCTTGGGCTTGGCACCCAAGGAGGCAGCAGCACGTGGGGTGGTAGCAGATTCTGTGGCAGTACACAGGAGCACAGCAAGCTGGCTGACAGCAAGGCTGGCTGCACCTGGACCCACTGAAGGTTTGTCCACAGCTGCTGGACCCACAGCAGGTGGGCTGACAGCAGGTGGTCACACAAGTAGGCTTGCAGCAGGTGGTTCTACAGCAGGTGGTTTCACTAGTTTGATAGCAAGTTGGGGGGCAGGAGGGCTGGCAGCAGATGGTCTCACAGCAGGTGGGCTGACAGCAGGGTTTGCTGCAACAGGTGGGCTGGCAGCAGGAGGTCACACAAGTAGGTCTGCAGCAGGTGGTCCTGCAACAGGTGGTTTGACAGCAAGCTGGGGGGCAGCAGGGCTTGCAGCAGCTGGACTCACAGCAAGTGGTCCTACAGCAAATGGGCTGACAGCAGGTGGGCTGGCAGCATGGGGAGCAGCACGAGTGGGTCATTGTGTCTGTGATGAGTATGGACTCCTGTTCAGAAGTGAGTTTCTCAGATTCTGCTCACTGCTCTTGTTCTGGGGCTTTTATATCCTGGACCCCCAATGTTGGGACCAATAAGCAGGACTTTCCTGGTTGTTCTTTATGTTATTGTTGTAGTTTTGATAATTGTCATGGAGGAAGTTGCTTTCTTAGTGTTTTATAGAGAGGCCTCTGTAAATTAGTGTTTGATCTTTTCCTTAATTGGGTCTAGTACTTAAGAATCTTTCCTAGAAATGAAAAAGTCAGGAATCATCACCAGCAGCATTTCTGGTCCTGTGACATCATCTGGTCATGGGGAGTTCCTGCTGGCTCTGTGAAGGTCAGAATAGTTCTCCTTTCTCAGCTTTGTTCCTTTGGCTCTACTTAGACTGGGACCTGCCTCCAAAGGGTCAGGATGCTGATACATTCTGTGATGAATGAAGCCTGCTTGAGTTCAAGCCCGGTCTCTGACAAAGTCAGAGTTAAGACTTCCACATGTATTTGTATATATCTGTATTTGGAAACTAGTCTGAAATGTTTCCCAGTTTTATCAGGGTCATCTGAATAGAGGATGGTTGGCACATTGTTTTTCAAATGAAAATCAGCACCAAAACTGGAATAGAGGCAAAACCTGAATCCTATTTTCAAACAGCATCCCTTCCTTACTGTTTCAGTGCTATTTTCTAGTTAGGTTAATGACCTCTGGTGAGACATCCCAACTTGCATATACTTTCTTCTATAATTTGTGACAAGCAGGTTAGATAGGAGAATAACTAAGGTATGTTTGAATCTGTAAATTTATATATTCCGACAAATGCTGAATCTCAGCCACAATTTCTTAAAGCTTTTAGGCCCCATTTTCTCTCTTTTAGATGTGTATGTTAGAGTATAATTGCCATGTAATGGGGAAACATATAGTCAACAGCAGTAGAAAGGATAAAATGATAAGTAATTCCAATGGCAAAAGAAAGGAAAACATTTAAAATTTGTGTGGAACCACAAAATATCCAATGCAATATTGAAAAAGAAGAACAAAGCTGGAAGCATCATTTTCCTTGATTCCAAACAGTATTACAAAGCTCTATTAAGCAAAACAGTATGGATTGGAAAAAACCGGCACTTAGATCAATGAAGTAGAATAAAGAGGCCAGAAATAAGTCCACACATTATTTGACATACTAATTTATTACAAAGGAGCCAAGAATATATTAATGCAATAAGGAAATTGCAATCTTTTAAACAAATAGTGGTGGGGAAACTGGGCAGCCATGTGCCAAAGAATGAAACTGGACTCCTCTCATACACCATCCACAAAAATTAGCTCTAAATGGATTAAAGAACTGAACTTAAGACCTGAGATTATAAAACTCCTGGAAGAGAAAATAGATAGTAAGCTCTTTGACACTGGTCTTAGTGTTGACTTTTTGGATTTGACACCAAAATAAAGGCAGCAGATCTTAAAGTGGGAATAATTAAATAGTTTATGCCTAGAAAAGGAAACTATCAACAAAATGAAAAGGAAACCTATTGAACTGAGAGAAAATATTTTCAAATCATATTTCATAAACAGTTGATATTCAAAATATATAACTTAATAACTCACATGACACAACTCACATGACTCAATAGCAAAAATGAAAGAACCTCATTTAAAATGGGTAGAGGTTCTAAAGACATACTTTTCCAAAGAAGACATGCAAATGGCTATCAGATACATGAAAAGGTATTTAATATCACTAATCAATGGGAATGCAAATCAAAACCACAATGAGATATCAGTTCATACCGGATTTACCATGTCTATCATAAAAGTGTCAAGACATACAAAGTTTTAATGAGAATATGACCAAAGGGAACGCCTTTCCCTGTTAGTTGAAATGGAAATTGGTGCAGCCACTATGAAAAAAATGGAGTTCCCTCAAAATTAAAAATAGGACATGGGGAGAATAGAATATGATCTAAATATTCTACTTCTTGGCATTTATCTGAAGAAAACAAAAACACTGACTCAAAAAGATTTATACAGCCACATGTTCATTATAGCATTGTTTACACTAGCCAAGACATGGAAACAACCAAAGTGTCTGTCAATGGATGAATGGGTAAAGAAAACATGGAACATATCATATAACGGAATGTTATTCAGTGATGAATAGAGGGATATCTTCCCATTTATGACAATGTGAAAGGACCTTGAGGACATTAAGCTAAATGAAATAAGTTAGAGACAAATACCATGTGATTTCACTTATATATGGAATCTTAAAAAAATTTTCTAAAACTGAGCTCATAGATAGAACAGATCAATGGTAGCCAGAGGTGGGAGGTGGGGTGGGTGAAATAGGTAAATGGGATCACAAGATACAGGCTTCCAGTTATAAAATAAATGCATGGGGAATGTGATGTACTGCATAATGACCATGTGAATAATACTGAAATCTTTGAAAGTTGCTAGAAAAGTAGATTTTAAAAGCTCTCATGCAAGAAAAAAGACTTTGTAGTTATCAATTGTGACAGATGTTAATGTTAACCAGACTTACTGCAGTGGTAACTTTGCAACATCTACGAATATCAAATTATTATGTTGAACACCTATAAACAATATAATGCCGTGTCAATTAAAGCTCAGTTTAAAACAAACAAACAAGGATAGATACACATCAGTAGAATTCAGAAGTTTCATATCAGGAGAGTACACAACACTACTGTAGTGAAATATTGAAACACTTTTATTGTTTCTACCCCTGTTGACTATCTGCTTTCCCTATGACATGGCAATTACACTCTTACATATGTACCTAAAAGAGAGACAATAGGGCAGAAAAAACTCTAAGAAATTATGGCTGACACATTTGACATTTATTGAAATCTATAAGTCTATAAAGTTGTCATCCTATCTACCTATTTGTCACAAATTATAAAAGAAAGTATGTGCAAGTTGTGATGTCTCATCAGAGGTGATTGATCCAGCTAAAAATAGTTATGGGACATTAATGAATTGATATCTGAAAACAGGGTACAGCTTTGGTGCCGAATTGCTAGTGAAGAACAATGTGCCAACATCTTCTACCTAAATGTATCTAATAAAGCTGGGAAATATTTTAGGTCAGTCACTACTGATTTGAAAGACATGCATATAGATACATGTGATCGTCTTGAATCTCAGACTTCATCTGACATCACACTTGGACTTTAGCTGGCTTCATTCATCACAGAATGCATCAGCATCCAGCTAGTCTCAACCTAAGTGGACTCAAAGGAACAAAGAAAAGATGACTGTTCCGACCCTTGCCAAGGCAGGAAGAACTATCTCATGACCTGATGATGTCACATGACCAGAGATCCTGTTGGGATGATTCCTTATTCTTTTTCCCTTCTGGAAAAGGTTCTTAAGTACTAGTCCTAATTAAAAAGAAGATCAAACACTAATTTACAGAGGCCTCATAACACTAAAGAAATCATTTCCTCTTGGATAATTTCCCATTGACTACAAAAACAACATGCACAACAAGGAAAGTCTTGCTTATTGGTCCCAACATTGGGGGTCCAGTGTATAAAAAGCCCCAGAACAGAAGCAGTCATCAGAATCTGAGAAACTCACTTCTAACCAGAAGTCCACACTCCACCAGTGACAAAATGACTCACTCCTGCTGCTCCCCGTGCTGTCAGCCCACCTGCTGTGAGCCCAGCTGCTGCCGGCCTTGCTGCCCCCCAACTTGCTATCAGACTAGTGAAAACACCTGCTGTAGGACCACCTGCTGCAAACCTACATGTGTGACCACCTGCTGTCAGCCCACCTGTGGTGGGTCCAGCTGCTGCCAGCCTTGCTGTCGCCCTGCCTGCTGTCAGACCACCTGCTGCAGGACCACCTGCTTCAAGCCTACTTGTGTGACCACCTGCTGCCAGCCCACCTGCTGTGAGGCCAGCTGCTGTCAGCCTTGCTGCCCCCCAACTTGCTATCAGACTAGTGAAAACACCTGCTGTAGGACCACCTGCTGCAAACCTACATGTGTGACCACCTGCTGTCAGCCCACCTGTGGTGGGTCCAGCTGCTGCCAGCCTTGCTGTCTCCCTGCCTGCTGTCAGACCACCTGCTGCAGGACCACCTGCCTCAAGCCTACTTGTGTGACCACCTGCTGCAAACCCACCTGTGTGACCACCTGCTGTCAGCCCACCTGTGGTGGGTCCAGCTGCTGCCAGCCTTGCTGTCGCCCTGCCTGCTGTCAGACCACCTGCTGCAGGACCACCTGCCTCAAGCCTACTTGTGTGACCACCTGCTGTCAGCCCACCTGTGGTGGGTCCAGCTGCTGCCGGCCTTGCTGTCGCCCTGCCTGCTGTCAGACCACCTGCTGCAGGACCACCTGCCTCAAGCCTACTTGTGTGACCACCTGCTGCCAGCCCACCTGCTGTGGATCCAGCAGCTGTGGACAAACCTGCAGTGGGTCCAGGTGCTCTCAGCCTTGCTGCCAGCCAGCTTGCTGTGCACCCGTGTACTGCCATAGAACCTGCTACCACCCCACATGCTGCTGCCTGCCTGGGTGCCAAGACCAGAGCTGTGGATCCAGCTGCTGCCAGCCTTGCAGCCGCCCTGTCTGCTGTCAGACCACCTGCTGCAGGACCACCTGCTGCCGCCCTAGCTGTGTGTCCAGCTGCTGCCAGCCTTCCTGCTGCTGATCACCTTGCCAAGGAGCCACTGTCCCTATACAACACCTTCTGCTAATTGACTTGCTACCTGGGGACAAACAAAATCACTTCTTAGAATTTGCTGACAACTGGCATGCTCTACCAGAATTTCAGTTACTCATCTCCTTGCTTAAGAGCTTGTGAATTAGCTTCCTCCAATTGTCTTCCTCTGGTGTCAGAGGACCATGTGCCAACTTCCTGCATCTGTGATAAGGAAGCATGTCTTGGTTTTGACTCTGAAAATAGGATTGACCATCTAGTTCTTCTGAGTAACTTAAGAAAACGAGATCTCAGAATGTTTCTATAGGTTTCTGTAGCCTATCATAATCTTTATAATCATATTTTCTCTTTTGCTATCCTCATAGTTCTTGTATCATGCTTTCTCCTTTCATGATCACTTGGAGGTTTACCCATATGTTTCTCAATAAATGGTGTACCACAATTCTTCTATATGTGTTTGATTTATTGCACCACCTTCCTGACATAGAAATTTATATATCATATGCTTTATCCATTATGAGCATCATATTAGCCCCCTTCCTAGTTATTATCTCATTATTAAAAACCCATTTCATTGTGGAGTGTGATCTACCTAATAATAAATAGACTCATCCAGGATGAAGTCTTCTGTTCCTGCTCAAGGGCACTTACATTTACATCCCAAGGAACTATTAATAGATGTCTGAACCTCAGTGACTATGTCCTTGGCAAGCTATAGTTGCTGTCATTGTTCATGTGTTTTATCTACAGCTGGGCCTGGACGCACCATGAGATACTCCAAGGAAATTATGCTCAGACTATTTCTCCCTGCCCTCTATCTTTTCATGATAATTATCCCTCAGCAATTAGTAACTCCTCTCTCTGCCCACTGGTCTATCTAGATGAGGAGTCCAAAATGACCAGGTGACAGTTTAAACATAGACTATATTCCCTAAAAAATGTGACATTTATAGTATTAAGCCCTTCAATCCAGGAGAGTATAGATCCATGGGGAGGGGAAGAACAGATTGCCATATATGTCACCATGAGTTAAAGTGAGAGGGTTCACTGCTCCTTCACTTTCTGAAACCATGTATACTACCTTTGTGGATATACATGGTACTACCTATTTGGGAACCACATAGTGGCCATTAGGTCGAAGTATGTACCATATTCAGAAACAACATATCAACCTCGTGTGTTGTCATCTCTAAGTTGGTTCTTACTGCAGTCTACAAGACCATCTAATTTTCCATGAGCCAGCCATCTCTTGATGAAACTGAAAGAGGCTCAATACTCTTGGCTTAAAACTCAGCATTCAGAAAACTAAGATCATGGCATCTGGTCCCATCACTTCATGGCAAATAGATGGGGAAACACTGGACACGCTGAGAGACTATTTTGGGGGGCTCCAAAATCACTGCAGATGGTGACTGCAGCCATGAAATTGAAAGACGCATGCTCCTTGAAAGAAAAGTTATGACTAACCTAGACAGTATATTAAAAAGGAGAGAGTTACTTTGTCAACAAAGGTCCATCTAGTCAAAGTTATGGTTTTTCCAGTAGTTATGGATAGATGTGAAAGTTGGACTATAAAGAAAGCTGAGCCCCGAAGAATCGATGCTTTTGAACTGTGGTGTTGGAGAAGACTCTTGAGAGTCCCTTGGACTGCAAGGAGATCCAACCAATCCATGCTAAAGGAAATCAGTCTTGACTATTCATTGAAAGGACTGATGCTGATGGTGAAACTCCAATACTTTGGCCACCTGATGTGAAGAACTGACTCATTTGAAAGGACCCTGAAGCTGGGAAAGATTGAAGGCAGTAGAAGGGGATGACAGAGGATGAGATGGTTGGATGGCATCACCGACTCAATGGACATGAGTTTGAGTAAGCTCCAGGAGTTGGTGATGGACAGGGAAGCCTGGTGTGCTGCAGTCCATGCAGTCACAAAGAGTCAGACATGACTGAGTGACTGAACTGAACTGAACGAGAGAATTCTAATTTTCCATGGGTCAGCCATCTCTGTCATGTGATGTATGGTAGAACAAGTCGATCTCATGTTCATTTGCCTCTTGTTTATCTTGTTCATTAAAAAGTGGGTCTGTGGGTCCCAAGTTTTACTATTCAGAATCCTATGACAATATTACTATAAGCTGATGGATAGTACTGTTGATAGGAAAAACAATCCAAGTTTATAACATGGAATCTTAGTAAAGAAGAATTGCTGTCTTTTCCATGCACATGTAGTCTAAGAGGAAAACTAACTTGCTTTCAAGTTAGATGGCTAGATTTCCTGAGGGATATTATTCTCTGCTTCTGACCAGCAGCATATACAGCAGTGCCTGCGTGGTCAGAGCAAGACTGTGCTGTTGGTCCACACAAATCTTCCATCCGTGCCACCATGGACTCTGTTCCTTCTCTCTTGTATAAGTATTGATGTACCTAATGATAGAGATGGGATAAGATATCCCAAACTTGTAGCTGTCCAGTGTCTCCTTTGTGGTAAACACTCTGGAGGTCATTGATGTGGGACACAGTGGGAAACACTTTCTGCCCTCACACGTACCTCCATCTAAATAATTCTCCAAATCCCTTTACTTGCTCCTCCCTTGGCTCAATCCAATCAGTCAGTCCTTGCAGATAGGCAAATAGCATCATTTCCTCAGGGCACATTTTCTCAAAAAAAAATATATATATATATATATAAATATATATATAATGGACATGCATAGTGACTCACTCTTCACTGCGAGTATTTTCTCTTTCCACTACCCTTGCACGGCAGAAGTGTCATCTGTCATAGTCAAGATTCTCCACTTGGCTTAAAAGCTTCTACTGAAGTTAATAGGTGATGAAATTTAAGATATTGAATGCTCATATATTATGATCAATTTGATTTGGTAGAAATCAAATGGAATTGGGATGGTAATTATTTTAAATACTATTTTTAATTAGAGGATAATTACAATATTGCAATGGTTTCCACCATACATCAGCATGAATCAGCTATAAGTATATATATGAAAGAGGAAACAGACAGAACAGGCTCCATCTTGAAAGTAGGCCTCCATCTTGGGCCGGACTGTGGACTTTGAGCTATATGACCAGTATCTATAGAAACGACATACCAACTGGAAAACCAGACCCCCTGAATGGAAGAGCCCCAGGGTTCATACCTAGACTCTCTGTTGCATAAAAGAATACCCTAGTTATCTGTGTAACCAAATAGAATCATAAATTCTATTATGCTTATTAGGGTATGTCCACAGGCCTATTGATAATTGTCTACTGTTAACTACTTAGGCTTAAGGTATATGAATCACAGGTTAACTTTGACTGTTTCTTTCTTTTCCTTTGTTCAGACTAGTTTCAGGGAATTTGGGGAGGTGGGTTTGGGCATGTACACTTAGGGTATATATGGTTTTCACAAAAACTGGTCGGGGTCCTTGGCTAAGAGGAGATGCTACCTTGGGCCCGCTGGTGTAATAAACTGCACTCCACTATCTGCATTGTCCTTCTGAGTTTGTTTCCAGGAAGGTGTGGCTACAACACATACATCCCTTCCTCCTAAACCACCTTCCCACCTCCTTCTCCGTCCCACCCGTCTAGGTCATCACAGAGCACCAGCTTTGGGTTCTGCATCATACTACAAATTTCCACTGGCTATCCACTTTATGGGCTTCCTGGAGGCTCAGATGGTAAAGAATCTGCCTGCAATGCAGGAGACCTGGGTTCAAACCCTGGGTAGGAAGATCCCCTGAAAAGGGAATGACTCCAGTGTCCAGAGAATTCCATGAACAGAAGAGCCTGGCGGACTACAGTTCATGGGGTCTCAAAGAGTCAAACATGGCTGAGTGACTAACACACACACACACACACATATACACACATTCACTTCATATATGGTAACGTATATGTTTTGATGCTACTTTCTGGAGTCATGCCACCCTCTCCCACCTGCACTGTGACTAAACATCTGTTCATTATGTCCGTATTTCCTTTGCTGCCCTGCAAATAGGATCATCAGTACCATCTTTCTAGATTCTATATATACACATTAATTTGCAATATTTGTCTTTCTCTTTCTGACTTACTTCAATCGTATAATAGGCTCTAAGTTCATCTGCTGCATTAGAATGGATTCAAATGTGTTCTTTTCTACAGCTGAGTAATATTCCATTGTATATGGAATGTACACAATTATGTACCACTGTTGTAGCCATGCGTTCTGAGAAACAAACTCACTCAGAAGGACAATACAGATAGTGGAGTGCAGTTTATTACACTAGTGGGCCCAAGGCAGAGTCTCCTCTTAGCCAAGAACCCTGACCAGTTTTTGTGAAAACCTTATATACCCTAAGTGTATGTGCCCAAACCCACCTCCCCATATTCCCTGAAACTAGTCTGAACAAAGGAAAAGAAAGATACAATCCAAGTTAACCCGTGATTCATATGCCTTAAGCCTCGGTAGTTAACAGTGGACAATTATCAATAGGCCTGTTGTCATATCCCAATAAGCATAATAGAATGTATGATTCTATTCAGTTACACAGATAACTAGGGTATTCTTTTAGGCAACAGAGAGTCTAGGTACGAGCCCACGGGCTCTTCCATCCAGGGGGCCTGGTTTTCCGGTTGGTATGTCATTTCTATAGATACTGGGCATAGAGCTCAGAGTCCACAGTCCGGCCCAAGATGGAGTCCTGCTTTCAAGATGGAGCCTGTTCTGTCTGTTTCCTCTTTCACTACAATTTCTTTATCCATTCATCTGTTGATAGATATTTAGGTTGCTTCCATGTCCTTGCAATTGTAAATTAGTGCTGCAATTAACATTGGGACAGATGTGTTTTTTTCAGTTAAGCTTTCCTGAGGGCATATGTCCAAGCAGCTCAATACCAGAAAACCAAACAACCCAATCAAAAAGCGACCAGAAGAACTAAACAAGTGAAATGTTGTTCCTAAACCATGAAAGACGACAGGATTCTTGGGCTCTGGAGAAGAATTCAATC